AAAAAAAAAAAACGTACTGACCCAGAACAGTTGAACGGTAGCGTATATATTCTTGTTCTCATCTGTGCATGTTGTTCCAAAAAAAAGTCTTTAATCAAAGTCTAGGCGGCACTTCCTAGGACAAACCTTAATGCATAAGCTTGTTATTTTAAATGGTGTAAATAGTTTCTCAAGCTGTCTGTCTTTTTTTCCTTTTCAATAACCCTTTGTAGACGAGTATAAATGAGACTCCAGTGACACTGCAAGTGCCGGGGATGATGACGAACCCCATGGGGCAGATGGGCGGTATTCCCACTGAGGTCCTGTGCCTGATGAACATGGTGGCTCCAGAGGAGCTCCTGGATGATGAGGAGTACGAGGAGATAGTGGAGGACGTCAGGGAGGAATGCTCCAAATACGGCCAGGTCAAGAGCATAGAGATTCCCCGGCCTGTCGATGGCCTTGAGGTCCCCGGAACTGGCAAGGTAAGCCTTACCAAACCAGCTCAAGTGATGGATGGGGGCCATGGGCTTGGGGTCAAACTCTGCCGTTCTTCAGTCCTTACGTAGGTGCTGATTAAAGCACTTCGACTTCGAACCCTCCAGCAATGAACATCTGGTAGCGCTACACTAACATACACAAACCAGCTCACGATCTGTTTTATTTTTCCAGATCTTTGTGGAGTTCACAACTGTTTTCGACTCCCAGAAAGCCATGCAGGCCTTAACGGGAAGAAAGTTCGCCAACAGGGTGGTGGTGACCAAGTACTGCGATCCAGATGCTTACCACCGCCGAGACTTCTGGTAGAGGAAGAGAGCAAGAAAAATAGGATGGAGTAGCAGCTTTGCGATAACTCCTAAAAAGAGAGAGAAATTGAGGCAGAGATAACGAAAGGGGGAACATTTTTTTTTGTACTCTTTAAAAAAAGCTAAAAGGCGAATGGTTTTGTTTTGTTTTGAGATGATTTGTGAGCAATTATGGGAGGGCTTTCGTTTGTATTTTAAGAACATTAGCGGGAGATATTCTGTTATACTGATTATACTTAATCTGTTAATAAAATTACTGTTTTTTTAATTGTATACTGAAACAAATGATGTAAAATTGTGACCATCAGAGAAGACGAAAGAGCTATTGATACTCAACTAAATGTGGAGATGTGTTCATATTAGACAGATAATTCAAAGATGTCATCTTTCGGTCCCTTCCCTTGATTTTATCTCTTTTTATTTCTCATTTGAATTGTATCCCACTGTGACAGATCTTTTTTTGAAAGTCATTCGTCTTCTCTGTTGGCCAACTCACCACGTCTCCCTCCCATTTTGTAGCTTTTTTGCAGTTCATATCTCCAGGTATTAGACTGTCCCAGTTTTGTCTGGTTTTGTTCTTAAACTTGGTCTCTTCCATACATATCTCCAGCCCATTTGACGGTGATGACATTTGTCCAGTGTGGCACCTTTTCTGTATGTGTGATGTGTTTTTTTTCCTTCTCAATATAATAGGCAACTTTTGATAATAAAACTCTTGGAAGTATGATCAGTTGTGAATCTGTCTGTCTGGTTGTCATTGATTTGCAGGACAACTCATGCTACTCTGTTAAGAAGCAATATGTAGCATTTTTGTACTTTATTTTTGGCCGGTCACATGATTACTTTCTAAACAACCAATATTTTCTTAATCTTTGGGTCTAAATATACATATTTATTTCCTCTGCACATCATCCTTTGCATATATTTATGTTGCTTATTTTTTCTTAACAGTACAGCACTATCAGACTTGTATATTTGCTGATTTATTAAAATAGTACTCTGACCATTTAGTGACTGCTAATACCTGAAATAAGTAGATTGAAATAATACACTCATGTGCCACAAGTGTCTATAATCAATGACAGATTTTCGAATGTTTCCCATTTAAGGACTATTTAGTGTTACCTTTTCCAAAGCCACTGGTTGATTTGGTTGTGAAGGTCGTAATTGCTTCATCATAATCTAACTTTTAGCTTCTGTTATAGGAGATCAGATTGAACTGGGATTTATTGAGATGCCGTGGAGGGACTGTGTTGAACTGGTTTTATGAAGTCTTCTGTGAATCTGAACCAAAGTTAATCACTTCTTTTTCTCTCTCTTTCTCTATGTAAAGTTAAAGGGTTTGTTACGGCCACTTTTTTTTTTACTAGTGTTTTCCTATTTAAGCCAGTTTTATGTTGTGTTGTTGATTTAAATCTACTCTAATCATGTTTATTGTGGTTTCAACATTAAGGAGTGTTAACAAGCGTGTTTGGTAGAAAACTGAATAGGCCTATTGTGTGTTTTTATGTCAGCTCGGGCAATTATGTTCATAGTGTGGTGATGTGTCTGTTTCTGTCTCATTGAGCAAGTTTGGTATGATTTTCTTATGCAAACAGTAGTAAAATGCTTTTACAACAATCAACAGTCTTTTAATAGTTTTTTGTTTTTTTTGAGCATTTAAAAAGCACCAAACAGCATCCTATCTGAGAAAGTTGTTTATTTTTTCCAAATGATTTCAAGATCTAGTCATAACAGCAGAGCATAAATCATTGGCAAATGAAAGTGTGCTGGATTGTCTATATAAACTTCTCT